GCCCCCCCGGGGGTCTCTGCAGTCGGAGTCGAGCTCGTCCAGCGAGGCTGAGGCCCCCCAGCCCCCCCCGGCCCCCCAGCGCTGCCAGCCCAACCACCGAGGTGAGGGGGGGTCCGGTGGGGTACCCCCGCCTTTGGGGGGCCCGGGAGCCCCTCTAACCCCCCCGCCCCCCTTTGTGCAGGGTCCGGGAACGACTCCGAGAGCAACGACGAGTCCATCCCGGAGCTGGAGGAGCCCGAGGGCTCGGAGCTGCCCCCTGCCCAGCCCCAGGTGGGGTTTGGGGGGCTCGGGGGCGGCGGGGACCCCCGGGGTGTGGGGGCCCCGCTGACCCCCGTGTCGCAGGTGCCCCTCGGGCCCGGAGAGGAGCCGCTGAGCAAAGCCAAGCAGAGCCGCAGCGAGAAGAAGGCCCGCAAGGTGGGGGTCCCTGGGGGTGCCCCTCAGGGCTGGGGTCCCACCCCAGGGTTTGGGGAGGGGGGTCGCTCCTGGGGTGCTGGAGGGGCAGCCCTCACTCTGGGGTGGGACTCGGGGGGTCCCCAAGTGGGCGGGGGGCCATCCCGGCCACGCTGAGGGACAACATGGGCTCCCTGCTGCCCCGGGGGTTTGGGGTGCTCCGGGGGGCTGTGTCCCCCCGGCTGCTGTGCCCGGGGGCTCACTCGGTGCCCCCCAGGCCATGTCCAAGCTGGGGCTGCGGCAGATCCACGGCGTCACCCGCATCACCATCCGCAAGTCCAAGAACATCCTGTTCGTCATCTCCAAACCCGACGTCTTCAAGAGCCCCGCGTCCGACATCTACATCGTCTTTGGGGAGGCCAAGGTGGGCTCGGGGGGCTCTGGGGGGGCGCGGCTCGGGGCGGGGGGGGGGCTCTGGTGACCCCGAGTTTCCCCCAGATCGAGGACCTGTCCCAGCAAGTGCACAAGGCAGCGGCTGAGAAGTTCAAGGTGCCCCTGGAGCACTCGGCGCTCGTGACCGACGCTGCTCCCGCCCTGGCCATCAAGGAGGAGAGCGAGGAGGAGGAGGAGGCGAGTGCCGGGGGGGCTCCGAGACCCCCCCGGGGGTGCCGTGGGGGGTGACAGCGCCGTGAGCCCCGGGGGGACGGGACGGGACAGGGGGTGCAGACGTTCAGCCGGGGATGGGAGGGGTGCAGGGGGTCTCTGCTGCTCAGGGCTGGGTGTGTGCCGCGGGGGGGGTCTCACAGCGCCGTGCCCCCCACCCCAGGTGGATGAGACGGGGCTGGAGGTGCGGGACATCGAGCTGGTGATGGCCCAGGCCAACGTGTCCCGGCCCAAGGCCGTGCGGGCCCTGCGGCACAACAACAACGACATCGTCAACGCCATCATGGTGAGTGGGCTGAGAGCCCCCGGTCCCGGGGGGCACTGGGGGTGAGCCCCCCACCCTTGTCCCGGGGGCACTGGGGGTGAACCCCCCACCCTGGTCCCGGGGGGTACTGGGGGTGAACCCCCCACCCTGGTCCCGGGGGCACTGGGGGTGAGCCCCCCCCCGGTCCCGGGGGGCACTGGGGCTGAGCCCCCCACCCTGGTCCCGAGGGGCACTGGGAGTGAACCCCCCCCTTTTCCCGGGGGGCACTGGGGCTGAGCCCCCCACCCTGGTCCCGGGGGGCACTGGGGGTGAACCCCACTCCCTTTTCCCGGGGGGAATTGGGGCTGAACCCCTCCCTTTTCCCAGGGGGAATTGGGGCATGAACCCCCCCTTTTCCCGGGGGGAATTGGGGCTGAGACCCCCCTCCCTCACTCCCACTTTCCCAGCAGGAACTGGGGCTGAGACCCCCCTCCCTCACTCCCACTTTCCCAGCAGGAACTGGGGCTGAGCCCCCCACCCTGGTCCCGAGGGGCACTGGGAGTGAACCCCCCCCTTTTCCCGGGGGGCACTGGGGCTGAGCCCCCCACCCTGGTCCCGGGGGGCACTGGGGGTGAACCCCACTCCCTTTTCCCAGGGGGAATTGGGGCTTGAACCCCTGAGACCCCCCCGGGCAGACCCTTCCTCCCCCCCCTTTTCCTGGGGGTCACTGGGGGTTCACCCCCCCCTTGTCCCGGGGGGCACTGGGGGTGAACCCCACTCCCTTTTCCCAGGGGGAATTGGGGCTTGAACCCCCCTTTTCCCGGGGGGAATTGGGGCTGAGACCCCCCCTCCCTCACTCCCATTTTCCCATCAGGAACTGGGGCTTCCCGGGGGGAATTGGGGCTGAGCCCCCCCTTTTCCTGGGGGTCACTGGGGGTTCACCCCCCCCTTGTCCCGGGGGGCACTGGGGGTGAACCCCACTCCCTTTTCCCAGGGGGAATTGGGGCTTGAACCCCCCTTTTCCCGGGGGGAATTGGGGCTGAGACCCCCCCTCCCTCACTCCCATTTTCCCATCAGGAACTGGGGCTGAGACCCCCCCCTTTTCTTGGGGGAACTGGGACTGAGCCCCCTGCTTTTCCCAGGGAGAATTGGGGCTGAACCCCTCCTTTTCCCAGTGGGAACTGGGGCTGTGACCTCCCCCCCTTTCCACAGGGGGAATTGGGGCTGAGACCCCCCCCCCCTTTTCCCAGGGGGCATTTGGGCTGAGACCCCCTCCCTCACTCCCCTTTTCCCAGCAGGAACTGGGGCTGAGACCGCCCCCCCTTTCCACAGGGGGAATTGGGGCTGAGACCCTCTCCCCCATCTCTTTTCCTGGGGGAACTGGGGCTGAGACCCTCTCCCCCATCCCTTTTCCTGGGGGAACTGGGGCTGAGACCCCCCACTTTTCCTGGGGGAACTGGGGCTGAGACCCCCCGCTTTTCCCAGCAGGAACTGGGGGTGACCCCGGGATTCCTGACTCTGCTCTCTCCCACAGGAACTGACCATGTAGCAGCTGGGGGTGTCCTGGCCCCCTGTATAGATGCACAGACCCCCCCCAGACCCTTCCTCCTGCCCCCCATCCTCCTCCTGGCCCCTGGACTGCTCAATAAAGGCCTCCTGCACCCCTTGGATCGCACCTCGCCTGCCAGGCCTGATTTTGGGACTTTGGGGAGCCCCTTTTCCAGCACTGGGATGGGGGGGCCGTCACCTGGGGGTGTAACTGGGATGGGGGAGGTGGAAGGACAGGTTCTGGGGGAGGGGCAGCACCCCTGGGTGCTCCCAGCATTACTGGGGGTCAGGGACACCCCCTCCCCTCCCCTCCAGATTTGGGGTGTGGCAGAGAGCCCCTGAGCTCCAAGGGCTGGGGAGGGAGGGAACTCTTGGTCCCCAAATTCCGGTGTCTCAGGGACCTCTCCTGCTCTCCACCTTCTTGGTCCCCCAGGTGAGTCCCCAGAGGTGCCTCAGCTCCTGGGACACCCGAATTCCAGAGGGAGGAGGGGTTGGGATACCCCTGAGAAGGGTGGGGGGGGACACCCCAGTGTGGGCAGGGTGAAGGGGGCAGAGCTGGGTGCAGAGGGAATTTGGGGCCGAGGCCTCTGGAATGTGCTGGATCCCCAAAGTGCTGAGTCAGCATCTGGCTCCAGAGGGGGAGGAGACAGAGCCCCTGGGTGTGGCTGTGGGGCAATGGGACCCTCCCAGGCCCAGCTGGGGACCCACTCGGGGAGGGAGACCCCCAGGGCAGGCAGATAAAGGGGGCTCTGGGGGTCCCACCAAGCTCCTGTCCCCAGCAGGACCCTGGGGTGGGTGATGAGGGGGGCAGCTGGAATGTTCAGGAATGTTCCAATACCATGGATGAGAGGGTGAAAAAAATTCACATTGTGGTAGAACTTCATTTGGGGGTGGGGGCAGTTCTGGGGGACCCAGCTGTGCAAACTGTAAACTGGGGGGGGAGCAGATCCAGCCCCTTGGGAGTAGATCCAACACTGAGGGCATCCCTCAGGAGCAGATGGGGATGGTCAGGAGCAGATCTGGGAGATCTGCCCCCAAAATCCAAACCCAGGTCTGTCCCCCGAGTCCCAGCTGGAGCCCCCAGATCCCACACGAGGGCTCTGGGGTCCCTCCAAGGGCAGCTCCACGTTCCAGGACCTCCATGAGGGCACAGGCTGCTGTTCTTGGGCCCCTCTGAGGGCAGATCCATGGTCCGTGTCCCCTCCAGGGGCAGCTCCCTGTTCTGGGGTCCCTCCAGGGGCAGCTCCATGTCCCAGGATCACGCTGGGACCAGCTCCAGACTCCAAGTCCCCACGGGGGGCAGCCCCAGGTCCCCCCGGGGTGTCTCTGTGTCCCAGGGTGACTCTGTGTCTCGGTGTCCCGGGGTCCCCCCAGGGTGACTCTTTGTCCCGGGGTGACTCTGTGTCCCGGGGTCCCCCCGGGGTGACTCCGTGTCCCGGGGTGACTCCGTGACTCTGTGTCCCGGGGTGTCTCTGTGTCCCGGGGTGCCCCCGGGGTGTCTCTGTGTCCCGGGGTCCCCCCGGGGTGTCTCTGTGTCCTGGGGTCCCCCCGTGTCCCGGGGTGACTCTGTGTCTCGGTGTCCTGGGGTGACTCTGTCTCCCGGGGTGACTCCGTGTCCCGGTGTCCCGCGGTCCCCCCGGGGGCAGCCCCGCGTTCCCGGCGGGAGCAGCCGCGGCTCCGGCGCTCCCTCAGGACGAGTCCCGGTCCAGGCTGCAGCCCAGGGCCTCGATGTCGCTGCTGATGTGGGAGATCATCCTGTCCCACTCGTCCTCCTCGGAGGGCACGGACTGCTCGTCGGAGCTGCCGGCGGCGCCGGTGCCGTTGGCGGCGGAGGCGGCACCCAGCGAGCGGCGGTAGCGGCCGAAGCTGTCGGTGATGATGCCGCGGCCGTCCTTCACCCCGATGGTCTCCAGGAAGTTCTCGAAGTGCTGGCTGTCCTTCTCGGGGATGAAGGGACGCAGGCCTGGAGCCGGGACACGCGGCAGGGACGCGGTGAGTGCCGGGGGTTCCGAACCCGGGAGCCTCCGGGCGCCCCATCCATCCACACCCCAGACTGCAGCCACTGCTCGCTGAGGGCAAAACCCAGCTCAAGTGGGATTTTCCGAGCTCCAAATGATCTAATTCCTCACCCGGCATCTTGCTGGGCTTTGCTGAGCTTATCCCAATAATTGGTCCCATCAGGGACATCTGTCCTGTCCCCTCGGTGTCCCCACGTGAGACACACTACTCCTGTTCTGTGGGCATTTTAAATTCCTGCCTCCTTTCCCTCGGATGTGAGAGGCCCCAGGTGCAGTCAGACACTGCTCCTGCTCTGGGAGGATTTCCTAGGATATCAGAGGCCAGGTTGTTTAACCGGGGTGACTCCGTGTCTCTGTCTCCCGGGGTGACTCTGTGTCTCTGTGTCCCGGGGTCCCCCTGGGGTGTCTCTGTGTCCCGGGGTGACTCTGTGTCCCGGGGTCCCCCCGGGGTGTCTCTGTGTCCTGGGGTCCCCCCGTGTCCCGGGGTGACTCTGTGTCTCGGTGTCCTGGGGTGACTCTGTCTCCCGGGGTGACTCCGTGTCCCGGTGTCCCGCGGTCCCCCCGGGGGCAGCCCCGCGTTCCCGGCGGGAGCAGCCGCGGCTCCGGCGCTCCCTCAGGACGAGTCCCGGTCCAGGCTGCAGCCCAGGGCCTCGATGTCGCTGCTGATGTGGGAGATCATCCTGTCCCACTCGTCCTCCTCGGAGGGCACGGACTGCTCGTCGGAGCTGCCGGCGGCGCCGGTGCCGTTGGCGGCGGAGGCGGCGCCCAGCGAGCGGCGGTAGCGGCCGAAGCTGTCGGTGATGATGCCGCGGCCGTCCTTCACCCCGATGGTCTCCAGGAAGTTCTCGAAGTGCTGGCTGTCCTTCTCGGGGATGAAGGGACGCAGGCCTGGAGCCGGGACACGCGGCAGGGACGCGGTGAGTGCCGGGGGTTCCGAACCTGGGAGCCTCCGGGCGCCCCATCCATCCACACCCCAGACTGCAGCCACTGCTCGCTGAGGGCAAAACCCAGCTCAAGTGGGATTTTCCGAGCTCCAAATGATCTAATTCCTCACCCGGCATCTTGCTGGGCTTTGCTGAGCTTATCCCAATAATTGGTCCCATCAGGGACATCTGTCCTGTCCCCTCGGTGTCCCCACGTGAGACACGCTACTCCTGTTCTGTGGGCATTTTAAATTCCTGCCTCCTTTCCCTCGGATGTGAGAGGCCCCAGGTGCAGTCAGACACTGCTCCTGCTCTGGGAGGATTTCCTAGGATATCAGAGGCCAGGTTGTTTAAGTATCCCTGGCCTGGAGATTTCCAGGTCTGAATTAAATTCCCTGGCTCTGGAGGAGGTTTCTAGCTTTGGGAGAAAGGAGGTTCCCAGGTCTGAAGGAAGTTCCCAGGTGCTTCACAGGCAGGTGGGAGCAGGAACAGCTCAGAGGGGAGCCTGAAGCCCTGGGATGAGCCGGGCTGGATGGCCCAGCTGCCCTCAGGAATGAGCCATCTCCACAGGAGATGGATTGGGACGTTTCTGCTCTGGTGGTGGCACCCCAAGGCCCCCTGCACCCCTGAGCTCTGGGCTCCTGGCTGGGGAGCCACCCCACACTCACCCAGGAGCAGGAATTTCCTGCTGTCCCCGTAGAGCTGCTTGAGGTTGATGCAGAACTCGTGGATGGAGGCCCCGTTGCGGTACTCATGCAGCAGCATGGCGAACTGCTGGATCTCCTGCGAGGACAGCTTCGTGCGCAGCTGCGGGGACACACCGACCTCGTGGCACCAGCGGGGGGCTGGGAGACTCAGGAAGGGCAGAGGGAGCCCAGGAACCCCCCGGCAGGGAGGGCTGGGAGCCTCGGCAAGGGCAGAGGGAGCCCAGGAACCCGGCAGGGAGGGCTGGGAGCCTCGGGAAGGGCAGAGGGAGCCCAGGAACCCGGCAGGGAGGGCTGGGAGCCCAGGAACCCGGCAGGTGGGGCTGGGAGCCTCGGCAAGGGCAGAGGGAGCCCAGGAACCCGGCAGGGGGGGCTGGGAGCCTCGGGAAGGGCAGAGGGAGCCCAGGAACCCCGGGGAAAAGCAGGGCTGAGCTGTGGGGTCGCTGGGATTGGGACTCGTGGAACCTTGGGGAATGAGGGGAGTTGGGTGCAGGGAAAGGGTGGGGGGAGGCTCCTGTGGGAGAGGCAGAGGCCAGAGGAGGCCCCGGAGCTGCTGCAGGGCTGGAGCCAGGCTGGGAGAGCTGGGAATGTTCCCCTGGAGAGGAGAAGGCTCCAGGGAGAGCTCAGAGCCCTGGCAGGGCCTGAAGGGGCTCCAGGAGAGCTGGAGAGGGACTGGGGACAAGGCATGGAGGGGGACAGGACACAGGGAATGGCTTCTCACTGGAAAAGTGGGAATTTAAATTGGATACTGGGATGAAATTCTTGGCTGAGAGGGTAGTGAGGGACTGGAATGGATTTCCCAGCGAAGCTGTGGCTGCCCTATCCATGGAAGTGCCCCAGGCCAGGTTGGATGGCTGGGGCTTGGAGCAGCCTGGGCTAGTGGAGGGTGCCCCTGCCACGGCAGGGGTGGGATGGGATCATCCTTCCAGCCCCTTCCCACCCAAACCATCCCACGACTCCGTGACACGAGCAGGCCCTCCCAGCCCAGTCTGGCTGGGAAGGACGAGCACGAGCTGCTCCTCCAGCTCTATCCCTGCCCCCTGATCCCTGATCCCAGTCCCACCGTCATCATGTAGTCCTGGAGCAGCTCGGTGGCCGTGGTGCTGAGCTCGCTCTCGCTGGCCGTGGTGACGTGTGGGGACGGGCGTGCCGAGAAGGGGGACGGGGACGTGTCCCCTGCCTCCAGCGTGTCTGCAAAGGAACTGACACCGGCACGGCTCAGCTCTCCACGGCTCCCTGGGGTGCCTGGGGACGTGCTGCTGTGATTTTGGGTGGCTTGTGTGGGGCTGGGAGTCGGGCTCTGTTCCTTGGGGTGCCTCACAACCCAGGATATTCCATGATTCTGGAGGCCCCAGCTCCTGAGGGCACCCCAAGGCTCCCAGGGAACTGAACCCTCTGTGGGGAATTATCCCTCTGGCTGCTTCCTCGTTGGGAGCAACACCGGGAGAAATCCCCACGCTCCCTACCTTGGGTTTAAATGTGCAATTTTCAATAATGCTCCTAATTCCATGTTAAACATTCCTAGGGTATCCCTCTATGGCTATTCCAAGAGCATCCCTCTATGTTAACCAATGGCTTGCGTGTGAGGATTTCATCCCACAAACACTGCTGATGTTTCCAGCAGGGAGGAGTTTCCCAAATGACAAGTTCCTGGGGATAACCCTGCACCGTGCTGGCACAGGGACCGCTCGCTGCGGCCATGACTCCTGGAATGCTGAGGGCAGAACAATCCAGGCCTGGACAGGATCAGTGCCAGCCCCCCCCCGAGGCCTGGCCGAGCTTCCCGGGGTGCTGATGGCAGCAGATCCGGGTTAATCCCGGCTCCAGGGGCCGAGCGTCACTCACAAAGTGCTGGCATCCGCCTCGAAGGGCTCCTTCACGTCCACTTTGGTGGAAGAGTCATCTGCAGGGAAAAAATGTGGGGGATGGAATGTGAGGCACAAACTCGGTGTCTTCCCAAGCCAGAAGGGACACAAAGTGATTCCTGACTCGGCTGGAAGGGAAGAGGCTGGGAATGAGTGACCAGGTAAGAGGAAACGGCCTCAGGTTGTGCCAGGGGAGGTTCAGGTTGGATCTCGGAAAGATTCCTTCATGGAAAGGGCAGTGAAGCATTGGAACAGGATGCCCAGGGAAGGGTGGAGTCCCCACCCTGTGGATGTGGCACTGGAGATATGGTCAGTGGTGGCCCTGGCAGTGCTGGGGGCTGGGTGGGCTCAGGGGTTCCTGAGGCTTTCCCAGCCCCGAGCTCTCCCAGCTGTGGCTCTGTGTGTCCCCAGGGAGGGGCTGGGGGGTCCCTGAGGTTTCCCAGCCCCGAGCTCTCCCAGCTGTGGCTGTGTGTGTCCCCAGGGCTGGGCTGGGGGGTTCCTGAGCCTTTCCCAGCCCCAAGCACTCCTGGCTGGGGGGTTCCTGAGCCTTTCCCAGCCCCAAGCTCTCCTAGCTGGGGCTTTCCTGAGGCTTTCCCAACCCCAAGCTCTCCCAGCTGTGGCTCTGTGTGTCCCCAGGCAGGGCTGGGGGGTTCCTGAGCCTTTCCCAGCCCCGAGCTCTCCCGGCTGTGGCTCTGTGTGCCCCCAGGGCTGGGCTGGGGGGTTCCTGAGCCTTTCCCAGCCCCCAGAGGGCTTGGCTGGGGGGTTCCTGAGGCTTTCCCAGCCCCAAGCACTCCTGGCTGGGGGGTTCCTGAGGCTTTCCCAGCCCCAAGCACTCCTGGCTGGGGGGTTCCTGAGCCTTTCCCAGCCCCAGCAGCAGGTCACACGCACCGCTGTGCAGGGACAGGTGCCGCGTCGGCGTCGAGGCGCCGTCGAAGATGGCGCGGTCCAGGAAGTCGATGGTGGACTCGGTGTAAACGATCTGGAAGACCTGGCTGAGCAGGGAGCACAGCTCCTCGGCACCCACCTGGGAAGGAGCAGGGAGCTGTGGCACAGCCCACGCAGGGACTGCCCCCTCTCCCTTTGGCTCTGCAGGACGGGCGTTGGCCCCCACGGGGACAGGCAAGGCACGGAGCCCGGCTCCGTCACGCTCCCGGCATTCCTGCCCTCTTCCAGCCAGCAGCAGGAGCTGGGATGCTCCAGCAGCAACCCAGGAGCCCCCCACGTTCTGTGCTGAGGCTCCTTCATGCAGCTCCCTGGGATTTTGGCTCATCCCAGAGGAATGCCAGAGCTGGGAATGAGGGGAGTGAAACTCCACCCTCAGAGGAGATCAGAGAGGCTGAGACTGGAATCCCTGGATCCAGACACTGGATGAAACAAATTCCCAGGTCAGCACAGGGAAAACCTGATCAGCAAAACCCCATAGTGGGATTGTCCTCACGGACTCTGTGCTGCTGCAGAAGGTTCTGGGCGACAGGGACCAAGGGAAACACTTCTGGAGACCCTCTTGTGTCCCGGGGTTGGGAGAGGGATCAGGAGTCCTTCTCCAAGTGCTCCAGCAATGCCCAACCACACCTGGAATCCCTAAACCCGTGTCCCACGAGGTGTGAGAGCACAGCAGGATCCAGACACACCACAGCACTCGGCCACTGTGGAGTTTGTGGCTCCACCATCACCACGATCTGAGAGCCAGAAACCTCCCAGCACTCCAGTGACTCTGAGCCCAGGCTGGGTGCTCCAGGGAGCAGTGACAGCCATACCTTGTTCTCCGTGGCCAGCACCACCAGGCAGCAGCACTCCAGGGGCCCCCCCGCGCTCTCCGACAGCGAGCCCGACGTCAGCGCCTTGGAGCCCTCGGCACACAGGCTCTGGCTCGGAGAGATCCCGGGATCCTGAGCTGAGGGGAGACGAGAGGTGAGGGAAGGGGATGGGAAGGAGTCCTGCAGCTGAGGAAGAGCCCTGAAGCAGAACGGGATGAAAAGCCTCCAATTTGGAGCTGGTTTTGACAGTTGTCTGGCTCAGAATTCCATCACCAGACTTCCAGCCCCTGAAGCATTTATTCCTTTGTTCCACAGCCTATCCTTGGGGTTTGTACTCAGATAAATCCCTGGCTCAGCCCACCCCAGCTCCCTGTTCCCAAACCATGCAAGTGTGACATGCACAGGACGAGGAACGAGGCGTCACGGAACCCTCATGGAACGCTTTGGGTTGGAGAGACCTTCAAGACCCTCCAGCCCCACCCCCTGCCACGGGCAGGGACATCTCCCACCGTCCCAGGTGGCCTCAGGGGGACAATCCCAGCTCCACGGCCACGGCTCACCTGTCTTGAGCACAACCAGGTGTGCGGAGTCGTCGCGGATGTAGGAGACGGAGGCGATGTCGTGGATGGGCACCCTGAGGATCAGGTCCTCCCCGTCCCTCCACACCAGCTTGATGTTGTAGGCAGAGAGGCTGATGACGGCGTCGTGCTCCGGGGTCAGCTGCCCCGGCAGCTGGTGGGCTCTCTGGAACACAGGGATTCACATGGATTTAGTCATGGGGTTGGAAGGAGCTTAAGGGTTATCCAGCTCCCTGTCATGGGCAGGGACACCTTCCACTATCCAGGCTGCTCCCCTCCAATCCAGCCTGGCCTGGGACACTTCCAGGGATGGGGCCACAGCTTCTCTGGGAAATCCATTCCAGGGGTGTTTTCCCTTTGGGAACAGCTTTCCCTGCCACCCAGGGAGCAGCAGGATGGGGAGCAGCAGCAGGCCCAGGCCTGAGGAGGCTCTGTGAGCCTGGATCTGTCCTGCTGGGGGAGAATCCCAGAGCAGCTGAGCGCTCACCTTGGCGTTGTCGATCAGGTGCAGGATCTCCGTGCGGCTCGAGGGGTTCAGGTATCCCGGGATGGAAGTGAGCTGCCCTAAATACTGGGACAGAAGAGCCAAACCATTACCACAGCATGGACACCGTCCTGGACAGGGCAGAACGAGGCACGGAGACGCTCCAAGGAAAACTGGAGACGGGTGAGAGGTGGGAGTGTTCTAAAAGAAGCTCCACAGAAACCTCAGAGTCCTTCCAGCGCCTAAGGAGCCGCAGCAGAGCTGGAGAGGAGCTCCGGACACGGGGGAATGGGTTCCCAGTGCCAGCTGGGATACTGGGAAGGAGTTCCCAGGGGCCCCTGTGGATACCTTGACCTCCTTCTCGATGTAGTCGTGGAGCAGCAGGTCGGGCTCCACGCGGTCGGGCGGTGCCACCACCAGGGTGTGCAGCGGCCGCCGCTCCGTCACCTTCTCCTGAGCCTTCTTGTCCCGGCCCTTCTCCCCCTTCAGGAACACGCGCTTGAACGGGGACACGATTCCAGGCTGCGAGAGGAACGGCACTGGGGTGAGGAGGGGGTTTGGCACTGCCACGGGGGGCTCCTGCAGCCCCTCCCGCCCGCAGTGCCACCCTGCCGCTTTGGCCCCACGGACAGCGCCCGGTTTGGGGCTGGAAATCCATGGATTTGCAGAGAAAACCCTTTTCCTGGGACACAAAGCAAGTGCTGGGTGTTCCCGCTACCAAAACGTGGTGGCTTTCCCCCAAAGGCACCATGCTCAACCACGTGGTGGTTTTCCCCCAAAGGCACCATGCTCAACCTTCCAGGTAAGAGAAACACAGCTCTTACATACAACAACATGTTCCAGGTGAAGAGCGGATCCAGAGGGATCCTCCATGGCTTTGTACCTGCCTGAGGAGCTGATGGGGCAACTCCACAAGGAATGCCAAAGAAATGGGCAGGAGTGTTCCGTGGAGAGCCCAAACAATGAGAAAATCACACAGAAAGTGGATTTCCCTGGCAAAAATGGGCAATTCCAAACCCTGCAGTGCCAGGTTTGGAAAGCCACTGGAGCCAACGCACAGCTGTCCTTGGGCATGGGAATGCCATGTGGGTCTCACCAAAACGTGGTGGTTTTCCCCCAAAGGCACCATGCTCAACCTTCCAGGTAAGAGAAACACAGCTCTTACATACAACAACATATTCCAGAGCGGATCCAGAGGGATCCTCCATGGCTTTGTACCTGCCTGAGGATCTGATGGGGCAACTCCACAAGGAATGCCAAAGAAACGGGCAGGAGTGTTCCGTGGAGACCCCAAACAATGAGAAAATCAAAAGTGGATTTCCCTGGCAAAAATGGGCAATTCCAAACAGTGCAGTGCCAGGTTTGGAAAGCCACTGGAGCCAATGCACAGCTGTCCTTTGGCATGGGAATGCCATGTGGGTCTCACCATGCTGGATAAATGACTGGGAACATCCCCAAACTGCTCCAATTCCAGCTCTCCCAGGGGAAGGGGATGTTTGGAGCAGACAGATCCATGGCTGGATCTAGGAACTCCTCGGACATGTGACTGCCATGTCCCATTCCCTCAGGGGATGTTTGGAGCAGACAGATCTAGGAACTCCTCGGACATGTGACTGCCATGTCCCATTCCCTGGTGGCCTCTGCTTCCCATGCCTCAGGACAACCACATCCTGGCTTTCCTGATCATCAGGGGCAAGAAAAGGAATGTGGGATCTGAAGGGGCAGAGAACAGGCTTCCAGTGGTGGGTTAATTAATTATATAGCAAGGAAAAGCTCCTGGGACAATGGGAATTACACAAGAATACACAAGGACACTGGGGACAGCCTGGCCTGGAAAAGCATCCCCTGGAGCAGGGAGACAGAAATGAAGGGATATCACAGGACAGAGAGGAGAGGAAACAGCTCCACAGCCCCACCTCAGGAGCAGCAGTGTGGATTTTTGGGAAGCATCCCTACACAGAGCATCCAGGAGAAGGGCCTGATGGGCCCTGGAGAGAAGGGAATCCTGCTGGGGCTCTGGAGAGAAGGGAATCCTGGACACAACAGGTCAGTTCACCAAGAACTGAGACTTGGGGACTCTCCAACTTTGGGATGTCCCATCTGAAATCCTGCCTGCCAGTGCCTCAGGAACCCAGAGCAGAGCAGGGCAGGAACCGAGGCCCAACCCAGGCACTTCCCCTTTCACCAGGACGCATCCAGACCCACCCCAACCCACAGGAACCCTTCTTCCTCCAGGACGTGGCCGCATCCCGAGGGCTGGGGTGATTCTGTGTCCCCCTGGCTGTCCTGGGCAGGAAGAGGGGACCCCAAAGCCACGTGACAGCCTGAGCTGGGCCCTGCACCCCCAAACCCCTGCACACACCCCAACCCTGCATCCTCTGCACTGCCACACCCAGGAGGGGACACCCCCGTGCCAAGGGAGCCCGAGCCCTGCTCTCTCTCCCAAGCTGGGAGCTGTTTTGGAACACCCAGCTGGATCCCAGGAGCTGCTTCCAGAGGCTTTCCCCATCCTGAAGATCCCACTGAGTCCATGGCTGTACAGCTTCTTCCTGCCCAGAGCAGCTGTGGCTGCCCCTGCATCCCTGGCGGTGCCCAAGCCAGGCTGGGAGCAGCCTGGGGACAGCGGGAGTTCAGCCACCACCCCAATTCCTGATCTCCTGATCATCCACGCTCCCCCTGCATCCCACAGCATGGACGCTCCAAAATCCACTTCATCCCGAAGAGCAGAGGGGCTCCAGCCCTGCAGCAGCTCCAGGTCCTTGTGCTGCTGGCTCTGGGGCTCTCTCTCTCACCTGAGCACGGGGGCAGAGCCCCCTTCCCTGCTGCCCAGGCTGGGGATCAGCCCAGGGCACGGATATTTGGGATAACAAAGGAATTTCAAGAAGAATTTCCCCCAAAGATGCAACTCCAAGCTCAGCAACTCCGTGTTTCAGGAGGGAAATGCTGAAGGAGCTGCTGGGAGGGGCAAAAGGCAGCAGCCTCAGCTCTCCAGGGCACCCCCGAGCTGGAAAAGCTGGGAATTTCACACCAACAGCTGACTGCACAGGCAATTCCCTCAGGGAAACCCTGCAAGCTCTGGATCCCTGCACGGATGGTGGAGTCAGAGCAGCAGGGAAATCACTCCCAGAAAATTCACCTCCTCCCACACTTCTTCCTGGGAATAGGCAGGCTGGCAGCATCCATGCTCACCTGGGGCTCCAGGTGTGACAGCAACCCTGCCAGCCCCGGGCAGGTTCCCATGGCTGGGCAGAATTCCTGATGGAGCCATCCTGCCTCCCAGAACGTGTGGGAGATGGTGTTTCATCCCAGGACAGCTCCCCCTTCCCACAGGGACAGCCAGGGAAGCTGAGCTCCTGGAAGGAATTCCAGTTTAAACCAGTTCAGATTTTACCCAAAGCTGGACTCGGCCCCAAAGCCAGCCTGGGATTTTCCTCCTCATCCCAACCCGAGCTGCCCTGGACCGCCTTTGGATCAGCACTGAGGGAACTCAACGCCTTCACCTCAGCTCAGGGTGCTGCTGGGAAGATCCACAGGATGGGAAAAGCAGGGAGAAGAGCTCTCCCTGCAGCTGGAACCCCTGGGCAACACGAGCATGGATCTTCAGCAACACGTAGCCAAACTGTCCAGGTGCAGAGGTGATCCACAGGCAGCAGCTCCAAGGGTTGGCTACCACCAAACCCACGGAAAACTCGCTCCAAGGAAGCTCCCCAGGGCCGTGGAGCTGCTGAGGAGAGGCCAGGGGCACTGCCAGGGGCTCCAGAGGGACTGGGACAGGACAGGAGTGGCACCAGCCTGGGAAAGGGCCCGAGGAGCCTTTGGGGACCAGAGGGGAGCCAGCTGGGACTGTCCACGTGGGACTGTCCAGGCGGGTGGGCCTGTCCCGCTGGGATTGTCCAGGTAGGATTACCCAGCTGGGACTATCCAGGTGGGATTATCCAGGTAGGATTATCCAGCTGGGACTATCCAGGTGGGATTATCCAGGTAGGATTATCCAGCTGGGACTATCCAGGTGGGATTATCCAGGTAGGATTATCCAGCTGGGACTATCCAGGTGGGATTATCCAGGTAGGATTATCCAGCTGGGACTATCCAGGTGGGATTATCCAGGTAGGATTATCCAGCTGGGACTATCCAGGTGGGATTATCCAGGTAGGATTATCCAGCTGGGACTATCCAGGTGGGATTATCCAGGTAGGATTATCCAGCTGGGACTATCCAGGTGGGATTATCCAGGTAGGATTATCCAGCTGGGACTATCCAGGTGGGATTATCCAGGTAGGATTGTCCAGCTGGGACTGTCCGGCTGGGACTGTCCAGCTGGGATTGTCCAGGTGGGTGGGATTGTCCAGGTAGGATTATCCAGCTGGGACTATCCAGGTGGGATTATCCAGGTAGGATTATCCAGCTGGGATAACAGGGCTAGGGGCACCAGCCCAACGTGTCCCTGGGGAAGGGAGGAGGGAAGGATCCAAACTCTTCCCAGTGGGGTGTCCCAGGGAGCAGTGAGGCACCTGGGCTGTGCCCCTGGAGCCCTGGCAGCTCTCCCTTCCCAAGGGCAGGACCATCCCATCTCCAGGTGAAAAATTCCTCAGGGTCACCTGATGCCATCGTGGGGGTTTCATTCCCAACCCTGCCTGTCTGGGGAGCCTGGAGGGCACCTCCCAAAAAATCCCACTCAACGTCACTCATGTCTCCAGGTGAAAAATTCCTCCCAGTCACCTGATGCCATCGTGGGGGTTTCATTCCCAACCCTGCCTGTCTGGGGAGCCTGGAGGGCACCTCCCAAAAAATCCCACTCAACGTCACTCATTCAGCTCCAGGCACCTGCCGCCACCTCCGGGCTCCCTGCGGGGCCAGGGGCTCCCAAAATCTGCGATTTGCCCCCAGATCTGGGATCAGATCCATCCTCCAGCCCCGGGCGTGCAGAGCAGCCCTGGCTGAGCCTCTCCCGAGGACACAGAAATGGGCTGAAAGGAGGGAAATCAGGGCACCACGGGCACGGCTGCGGCTGCTGAGCCCCGGAGACACGACAGAGGCAGAAATTAAATTAAATCGCATCAGTAATAACTTAAATAAATTAGCAAACTCAAGCTAGTCGCGCCATAACTAATAACCCCATCGCGTAATAACCTTCTCCAGGCCCTCAGGCACGGCGGGAGGGTCCGGCCTGGGGGCTCCGGGGCAGGGGAAGCGGCAGCCGGTGACCCCCGGGAAGGGGCTCCGGCCCAGCCCCGGGAGGGGACCGGGCACGCCCGGAGGGCTCAGCCACGGCGCCACCCCGGCTGCCCCGCTGTCGCGGCCCCCGCTCTCACCTTCTTGCCCTTCTTGCCCTCCTCCTCCATGGCTCCGGCGGCGGCCCGGGCCCCCCCCGGGGCATCCCGGCCCGGGTGAGCGGCGGGGCCTCAACGCGCGGCGGCGGCGGCCATGGCCCGCCCTGTTCCCGCTCCAGCCCCGCCTGCCGCTCGCGTTCCCGTTCCCGATCCCGCTCCCTGTCCCTGTCCCGCTCCCGGTCCCGGCGCCGCCTCAGCGCCCGCGGCTGGGTCCCGCCGCCATCTTGGGCGGCGCCTTGCCGTGACGTCATCGCTCCGCCGCCGGGGGGGGGGGGGGACGGGCACAGCGCGCCTGCGCCAAACGGTGGGCACAAAGAGCCACGCCCACGCAAAAACCACGCCCTTCTGCTGTGAACATAGCTGGCCACGCCCATCACTGAGACCACGCCCACATCCAGCCTTCATTGTGATGTCATATTGCCTCAGACCACGCCCCTGTCCCTGTCCCCGCCCACCACGCGTTGATCCCGCCTTCCCCCCCGCATGGCCGTGACGTCATCGCGAGGCGCCGCTCTCTCAGCCATGGCCGCCGCAGCAGCAGGTGAGGGGGCATGGCGGCCCGTGCGCATCCGCCGCCATCCGCGGCCCCCCGGCCGCCAGACCCCCCCTCCGCGGGCCGCGGCACCTCCGATGGCTGCCGGGGCCGCGGGGGGACTCGAGGCTCCCTCGGGAGCGGCTTCCCGCCGCAGGCTCCAGCATGGAGGGGCCTGGCGTGGCCCCTGCCATTCCTGTAGCGCTGCCAGAGCGTCCCGGGGCCGTTTGAGGCCGCTCCCGGCGCTTCCCGGGGGCGGTCATAGAACCCCCGGACATGGCCGGGCTGGTGGGACGTGGGGGGCTGCGGGGGCCCGAAACCCCCGGGCGGGGCTCGGCCGGTGACATTGCTGCCCTCCTCCATTCCAGGCTCCTGCTCCGAGCATCCAGAGGGATTCGGGAAGCCGCCGGGAAGAAGGAGGTGCATCCAAGGGGCCTAGCACCGTAATTAGCCCAGTTTTGGTTAATTGAGGCTACCAAGGCCTCAGCCCCTCGTCTCCCAGGGCTGGGATTCCCCGGGAATGCCGTGAGTGAGGCACGGAGCTCCATCCTGGCAGGAGTTACTGTCCACAGCGCTGCCCAGGTGAGGGGCAGCCCCGGGGGGGCCCGCAGGGCCGGAATGCCGCGGGAACGTCGGGCAGTTCGGCTCCTGGGAGCCTGCCAGGCCCTGGTGTCACCAGCCAGGCCGCGTTCCTGGGCTGTCACCGCCGGCTCCTGCGGTGACACCGAGCTGCCGGTGCCTCCCGGGGCTCCTGCGGGGCCCGGGATCCGCCGTGCCCGGGTGCCCCCGGCCCTGCCCGCCGCAGGCTCCAGCGTGGGGGGGGCCTGGCGTGGCTCCCACCATTCCTGCAGCGCTGCCAGAGCATCCCGGGGCCGTTTGAGGCCGCTCCCGGCACCTCCCGGGGGTGGTTATGGAAACCCCGGACATCCCGGGGGGTCATGGACATCCTGGGGGGGTCATGGACATCCCAGGGTGGTTATAGACACCCCAAACATCCCGGGGCGGTTATGGACACCTGGACATCCTGGGGTGGTTATGGACACCCTGGACATCCCGGGGGGGTCATGGACATCCCGGGGGGGTCATGGACATCCCGGGGTGGTTATGGACACCCCAAACCCCCCGGGGTGGTTATGGACCCCCTGGGGGTAGTTCTGGACATCCTGGGGGGGGTCATGGACGCCCCAAACATCCCAGGGGGGTTATGGACACCCCAAACCCCCCGGGGTGGTTATGGACCCCCTGGGGGTAGTTCTGGACATCCTGGGGGGGGTCATGGACGCCCCAAACATCCCAGGGGGGTTATGGACACCCCAAACCCCCCGGGGTGGTTATGGACCCCCTGGGGGTAGTTCTGGACATCCTGGGGGGGGTCATGGACGCCCCAAACATCCCAGGGGGGTTATGGACACCCCAAACCCCCCGGGGTGGTTATGGACCCCCTGGGGGTAGTTCTGGACATCCTGGGGGGGGTCATGGACGCCCCAAACATCCCAGGGGGGTTATGGACACCCCAAACCCCCCGGGGTGGTTATGGACCCCCTGGGGGTAGTTCTGGACATCCTGGGGGGGGTCATGGACACCCCGGGGGGGTCATGGACATCCCGGGGTGGTCACGGACATCCTGGTGTGGTCATGGACATCCTGGGGGTGGTCATGGACGCCCCAAACATCCCAGGGTGGTTATGGACACCCTGGGGGTAGTTCTGGACATCCTGGGGTGGTTATGGATACCCCAAACATCCCAGGGGGGTCATGGACACCTGGACATCCCAGGGTGGTTATGGACACCCCAAACATCCCAGGGTGGTTATGGACACCCTCTGGACATCCTGGGGGTAGTTCTGGACTCAGGATGGTTATGGACATCCCGGGGTGGTCATGGACACCTGGACATCCTGGGGGTAGTTCTGGACATCCTGGGGTGGTCATGGACACCTGGACACCCCGAGGGTGGTTATGGACACCCCAAACATCCCAGGGTGGTTATGGACACCTGGACATCCTGGGGTGGTTATGGACACCCCAAACATCCCAGGGTGGTCATGGACACCCCAAACATCCCAGGGTGGTCATGGACACCCCAAACATGTTATGGGACATCCTGGCCATCCCGGGGGGGTCATGGACATGCCGGCCATCTCAGGCCCGCTGGGATTTGGTGACAGTGGTGGGGCCCGGGGGCAGCAGGGCCGGTGACATTCCTGCCTTTCCCGTTGCAGGTTCCCTGTGAGGTGCTCCGCATGGATTGAGGAAGCGGGTGCAAGGCTGTTGTGGCCCTAATTAACGCCGTAATTAACGCCGCTGTGGTTACGGAGCAGCAGGAGGTGCATGCTGGGTGTCACCTGCCCTTCCTGGCCGTGCCCGTGTCCCTCAGGGACGTGTCCAGGGGCTGGAGCAGTGGCAGGCTCCCTGTGGGAGAGCCGGGAGGAGTCGGCGACGCCGGAGTCGGAATTAAACACGAGCCCGTGCTTCGAACGCGCTTTGGCTCCGGAGCTTTTTCATTTTCTGTTTGGTAAAAAGGTCCTGGTGTGCCTCGTCCCTGGGCTCACATCCCGTGTCCCTGGTGCCTGCCTGGGTGGCTGCTGGGCCGGGACAGGGATAGGGACATGGAACAGGGATAGGGACACGGGACAGGGACACGGGACAGGGACAGGGATAGGGACACGGGACAGGGATAGGGACACGGACAGGGACACGGGACAGGGACAAGCTGGCTGCGAGGTGGAGCACCGCTCCCAGCTGGAAGCCATGCTCCTGCTGGGATCCCGGGAGCTGCTGGCGTACCAGAACCCATCGAATATCTCTGCTAATGGCTCAAACAATTAATGAATGCATCGGTTAATTAACGGAGCTGATAGTTACGTTAACGGGTTAAATGCACTACTGGAATGTTGTAGCATAAACTGTTCCTGTGGTTGATCCGTGTTGTTGGAACGGCCCTGGGGCAGAACGAGCTGTGCCCGGGACCACCGAGGCTTCCTGGAGCCCCAAATACCCAGCAGGACTCTGGGGGGCCGCGGGAGGCGGGGAGAAGGGTAATTAACGGGGTCATTAATTACAGCACCCCTATAGGGGAGCCTTGTATGGGCTGGGGAGGGGCTGGGCGTGGCCAGTTACCATAGCAACCTCCCCGCCCCTGGGGCGGGGCTTCTCCCTTACAACATCCAATCAGCGGGTGAGGCGTCCCCATGGCAACGGCGCTTGCCCCGCCCCTTGTGGGCGTGGCCGCGCGATCACCTCTTTGTAGGGGCGGGGCGCCGCCCTGGGAACGGGGCCGGAAGTGTCGCGCGGACTCGGTGTCCCGTGAGCCCCCGCGCGCGGTTCCGGCGGGCCGGGCCGTGCCGGGATCGGGCCGGGATCGGGCCGGGCCGTGCCGGGATCGGGCCGTGCCGGGCCGTGCCGGGATGGAGGCCGTGCCCCGCATGCCCATGCGGGGCCCCGGTAATTAGTCACTTCATTAGCGGCGGCAAACAGGCTCCGCCCCGGCCGGCGCTTCCCGGGCCACCGAATTCATGGATGGGGAGCGCCGGGGGCTCCCCAGCCGTTGTGTCGCTCCCCCCGCGGCTTTGCGGGGGACACGGGTGGTCGCACCTTGGGGCCGGGGCACCTTCTCGGTGCCATGAATAAATCCCTTTTCCAGCCTCAGCCATCCCCCGATCCCGTTCCCCGAGCCGTCCGTGGGTGTCAAACTCCCCGCTGCCCGGTGTCCCCGCTGCCCGGTGCCCCCGCTGTCCCCCCTGCCCCGTGTCCCGGTGCCCCCGGTGCCCGGCAGGGCCTCGGGGCCGCTCACCCTCTCCCGTCTCCCAGTTTGTCCTGAAGAACTATGGGGAGAACCCGGAGAGCTACAACGAGGAGCTGCGGAAGCTGGAGCTGCTCCGGCAGGTGAGGGGGCCCCGGGGGCGGCCGGGGCTCCTCCGCCGTGCTCCCGTCCCCCGCTGTGGCACGCGGAGCGGCCCGTGGGTGATCCCGGTGATCCAAGGGCCGGGAGCTGCGGGCTGGGGGGAGCAGGGACAGCTCCCTGTGTGCCCCAGGGTCCCCCAAGCCCGGGGGGCCAGCCCAGCCCAGCGCTGGGATTCCTCCTGAGCAGGAGGGCACGAAGCCTTCCCAGGTGGGATGGGATGGGATGGGGGATGCTGGGGTGGGGGATGCTGAGATGGGGGATCTGGGATGCTGGGATGATGGGATGGGGGACTGGGATGGGATAGGGGAATCCAGGACAGGGTATCTGGGATGGGATGGGATGGGATGGGATAGGATGGGGGTAGGATGGGATGATGAGGTATTTGGGATGGAGGGCTGGGATGGGGGACTGGGATGGGATAGGGGAATCCAGGATAGGGTATCTGGGATGGGATGGGATAGGATGGGGCATCCAGGATATGATGGGGTATCTGGGATGGAGGGCTGGGATGGGATGGGGGATGCTGGGATGGGGGATCTGGGATGCTGGGATGGGATGGGGGATCCTGGGCTGGGATGGGATAGGGGAATCCAGGACAGGGTATCTGGGATGGGATGGGATGGGATGGGATAGGATGGGGCATCCAGGATATGATGGGGTATCTGGGATGGAGGGCTGGGATGGGATGGGGGATGCTGGGATGGGGGATCTGGGATGCTGGGATGGGATGGGGGATCCTGGGCTGGGATGGGATAGGGGAATCCAGGACAGGGTATCTGGGATAGGATGGGATAGGATGGGGGATCCAGGATATGATGGGGTATTTGGGATGGAGGGCTGGGATGGGAGCTCCTGGGATGGAATGGGGGATCTGGGATTTGGTATCTGGGATGGGATGGGATAGGATGGGGGATCCAGGATATGATGGGGTATTTGGGATGGAGGGCTGGGATGGGGGATCCAGGATGGGAGCTCCTGTGATGGAATGGGGGATCTGGGATGGGGGATCCGGGATGGGGGATCCAGGATTTGGTATCTGGGATGGGATGGGATAGGATGGGGCATCCAGGATACGATGGGGTATCTGGGATGGGGGGCTGAGCCAGGCAGGGTGTGACCGTGCCCATTCTCTGAGGGGGAGCTGCTCCAGGAACCCCCTGGGGAACGTGGTCCTGCCTGGGGTGACATTGGGGGATCCCAGGAACCCCTTGGGGAATGGGGTCCTGCAGAGGGGAGTCCCAGGGACCCTTGGGGAATGGGGTTCCCAGTAATTCCTGCTCCTGGGAGAATCCCTGGTTGCTCCCTGTCCTGTGCCCCCTTCCCCCAGGACTGAGATCTTCTCGGGCAAGGCGGTGACACACGAGGACATCAAGTACGAGCAGGCCTGCGTCCTCTACAACCTGGGTGAGCTCCCTGACTCCAGCAGCCCTGGGGCTCCCTGGCCCAAGCCCCCGTTCCCAGGGGTCTTGGGGTGTCCCTGCCCCGCTGAGCCCCCGCCTGTCCCCACAGGAGCTCTGCATTCCATGCTGGGAGCCATGGACAAGCGCGTGTCCGAGGAGGTGACGGCCCCAGCTCTGCCAGCTCTGTCCCTCTGGGCGCTGCCAGCCGGGTGTGACAGGCCAGGGACTGTCCCTGTGCTGGGCACTGGCTGAACCTGGAACCTGTGGGGTTTGGGGCGTCCAGGAACAGGACATGGAGGGGCTGGAGCAGAGCTGGGGAAGGGGGGAGCACCAGGGGGGACTCAGGAGGAGCCCTGGGGACAGCAGGGGACAGCTGGGGGGTCAGGCTCTGCTCCCAGGGAACAGGGCAAGAGGGAATGGCCTCAAGGGGAGGCTCAGGTGGGATACTGGGAATGTTCCTCCTGGAAAAGGCTCTCCAGCTCTGGCACAGCTGCCCAGGGCGGGGCTGGAGTCCCCACCTCTGCAGGGATTGAAAATCCCAGTGGATGTGGCACTTGGGGACGTGGTCAGGGGTGGCCTTGGCTGTGCTGGGGGCTGGGTGGACTCCATGATCTGGGAAGTCTTTTCCAAACCCAACAATTCCATCCCCTCAGGGCATGAAGGTTTCCTGCACCCACTTCCAGTGTGCTGCTGGTGCCTTCACCTACCTGCGGGACCACTTCCCACATTCCTACAGCGTGGACATGAGCCACCAGATCCTCAGCCTCAACATCAACCTCATGCTGGTAGGGACTGGGGGCACGGGGACCCCTCCAGTGTGTCCATGGGGTTTGTGTTCCCTGTGCATCCAAGGGCACAGGACCCCAGTGTCCCCCAGGGGTTCGGTCTGGGGTCTCTCCCAGGGTGGGGGGGCAGGAGGTTTAGGAGGCACTGGGGGATCAGGGAAGGCTCAGTGCCATTCCTGGGCTCTCCCAGCACCCTCAGGATGTGCCACATCCACCCCTTGGGAAAGGGGCTGGAGCCAGGGGTCCTGCCAGGGGTCTGGGCTGTCCCAAGGGCTGGGGATGCTGACATTCCTCTCTGGTCCCTGGCAGGGCCAGGCACAGGAGTGTCTCCTGGAGAAGTCCATGCTGGACAACAGGAAAAGCTTCCTCGTGGCCCGGATCAGTGCCCAGGTGAGCTCCAGGAGCTGCTCCCAGCACAGCCCTGCTCTGGGATCGGGAGCTGGCAGGGACTTTGGGCAAGGGCCTGCAGTGACAGGACACAGGGAAAGGGAGCTGTGGGGGGAGTACTGGGAGGGAATTCTTGGCTGTGAGGTGGGTGAGGCACGGGGATGGAATTCCCAGAGCAGTTGTGGCTGCCCCTGGATTCCTGGAAGTACCCAAGGCCAGGCTGGACAGGGCTTGGAGCAGCCTGGGCTGGTGACAGTCCCTGGCTGTGGTCCCAAACACATCCCTGAGTTCCCCCAACCATTCCTCTGGGTGATCTGAGTCCTTGGGCTGGTGCTGGTGATTCCTTTCCCTGCCCTGGTTCCCCTGGGATCTGGAACCTGTGGAATTCTCCCCTGTCCCTCTCCACAGGTGGTGGATTACTACAAGGAGGCCTGCCGGGCCCTGGAGAACTCGGAGACAGCCTCACTGCTGGGCAAGATCCAGAAGGATTGGAAGAAGCTGGTCCAAATGAAAATCTATTATTTTGCTGCCGTGGCCCACGTGAGTGAGGGGGAGCTGGGGCTGGGGGGCTCTCCCTCTGCTCCCATCCCACCTTGGGATGCTCCTGCCAGCTCTGGAGCAGCCCTGGCTGCTCCCTGGGGTTTTCCTCCCCCTGTCAAAGCTCTCCCTGGAGTTGCAGAGCTCTGACCCCAGTTTTCTTCCAGCTGCACATGGGGAAGCAGGCCGAGGAGCAGCAGAAGTTTGGGGAGAGGGTAAGTGGGGCCGTGTCATCCCATGTCATCCTCTCCAGCCTCTGGATCGGGGTCCTGGCAAGGGCTTGTGTCCTGGAAGAGGCTGGGTACCCTCGTGTCCCATGTGCTGCCAGGGCCTGGGTGCCCTGGGGGGGCCGTGGGGGGCTCTGGCCCTGGTGTCCCTGTGCAGGGCAGGGCAGTGCCCCCGTGCCAAGCCCAGCCCCGCTCTCCTGCAGGTCATCTACTTCCAGAGCGCCCTGGACAAGCTCAACGAAGCCATCAAGCTGGCCAAGGTGAGTCCCTCCCTCTGGGCCCTGGGCTGCCAGGTGCAGCAGGAGCAGGACTGGGCTGGGCTCCAGGGGCTCTGCAGGCCTCTCTGATCCCATCTGGAGCACTCAGACAGCGATTGCCACTGTCACTCCCACAGGGCCAGCCTGAAACTGTGCAGGAAGCTCTGAGGTTCGCCATGGATGTCATTGGTGGGAAGTGAGTCTGTGGGGCACCCCAGGGTGTCTCCATCCTTTTCCAGGGGTTGGGAATGTTGGTGGGCAGGGAGCCTGGGGAGCATTCCCAGTGTCCTGACGTGCCCCAGGCCCTGAGGATGGATGGATGATGGACGGATGGATAGGGATGGTGGATGGATAGGGATGGATGATGGATGGATAGGGATGGATGATGGATGATGGATGATGGATGATGGATGATGGATGATGGATGATGGATGATGGATGATGGATGATGGATGATGGATGATGGATGATGGATGATGGATGATGGATGATGGATGATGGATGATGGATGATGGATGATGGATGATGGATGATGGATGATGGATGATGGATGATGGATGATGGATGATGGATGATGGATGATGGATGATGGATGATGGATGATGGATGATGGATGATGGATGGATGGATGGCTGGCTGCTGTAGGAATTGCTGGAGCAATCCCAGGAGAACCAGGGGGGCTGAGCCTGTTGGAAGCAAGCTTAGGGAAGCAGGAACGCTGCCTGCTCCTTCTCTCCCAGCATCACTTCCCATTTCCAGGTACAATTCAGCCAAAAAGGACAACGACTTCATCTACCACGAGGCTGTGCCCGCGCTGGACACTCTGCAGTCTGTCAAAGGTCAGGGGGGCTTCGGGGGACCCCTGTCCTGCTGGGATGGAGGGCAGCATCCCTTCGGGAGCGGTCCCAGCCCGGGCTGTGTCCCCCAGGTGCCCCCTTGGTGAAGGCTCTGCCCGTCAACCCCACGGACCCCGCGGTCACCGGCCCCGACATCTTTGCCAAGCTGGTGCCCATGGCTGCCCACGAGGCCTCGTCCCTGTACAGGTGTGTCCTGGTCGGCCCTGTGCAGGTGTGTCCGGGCTCCAGCCGGAGCAGGACGGGAGGGGATGGCTGCAGCTGGGGCTGTGGAGCTGCTGGGTGTTTCCCTGCGCTCATGGACTGTTGTGCTCTGTGCCGCCCAGCGAGGAAAAGGCCAAACTGCTGCGGGACGTGATGGCCAAGATCGAAGCCAAGAACGAAGTGCTGGAGTACGTGAGGGGCCCGGCCCTTCCGCCCCACGGTGACCCAGCGCTCCCGAGCCTCTGCAGGGGGGGACACTGCCACCCCTCAGGGACCCCTCTGTGTCCCACAGCCAGTTCATGGACTCCATGCAGCTGGACCCCGAGACCGTGGACAACCTGGACATGTACAACCACATCCCGCCCGTGCTGATGGAGAAATGCGCCGCGCTCAGCGTGCGCCCGGACACCGTGCGCAACCTCGTGCAGTCCATGCAGGGTGAGGGCTCTGGGCTGCCTCTGCTGCCTGCCTGGGGCTGGGGTCCCTGGGGGCTGCCTCTGCTCCCTGCCTGGGGCTGGGGTTGGCATTGCTCCCTGCCTGGGGGTGAGGGCTGCCTCTGCTCCCTGCCTGGGGCTGGGGTCCTGGGGGCTGGCACTGCTCCCTGCCTGGGGGTGAGGGCTGCCTCTGCTCCCTGCCTGGGGCTGGGGTCCCTGGGGGCTGCCTCTGCTCCCTGCCTGGGGCTGGGGTCCCTGGGGGCTGCCACTGCTGCCTGCCTGGGGCTGGGGTCCCTGGGGGCTGGCACTGCTCCCTGCTTGGGGCTGGGGTCCCTGGGGGCTGCCTCTGCTCCCTGCCTGGGACTGGCACTGCTCCCTACCTGGGGCTGGCACTGCTCCCTGCCTGGGGCTGGGGCTGTCACTGCTCCCTGCCTGGGGCTGGGGTCCCTGGGGGCTGCCTCTGCTCCCTGCCTGGGGCTGGGGTCCCTGGGGGCTGCCTCTACTCCCTGCCTGGGGCTGGGGTCCCTGGGGCCAGCATTATTCCCAGGGTGTTGGGAGTGTTCTCACCCATGGCTTGTTCTGTACTGGCATCAATTCCTGAATCCCAAAGCATTTTCCCTGTGGGATGGGAGGGGGGATGACCCCAAGGGCATGGGTGCCCAGGAGCCCAGCACCCAACGCCTGGGCTGCCGTGTCCCTGTCTGGCTCCAGGCCTGGGGCAGGCAGGAGGCGTCCCCACGCCCACCAGCCCCCCGTGCCCCCCCAGTGCTCTCGGGGGTCTTCACCGACGTGGAGGCGTCGCTGAAGGAGATCCGGGACCTGCTGGAGGAGGACGAGGCGCAGGAGCGGAAGCTGCAGGAGCTGCTGGGGAGGGTCCCGCCGGCCCCAGCGTCCCCCCCGGGGCTGGCCGAGGTGAGCAAGGAGTGCTCCAAGTACCTGGAGCTGCACGAGAAGGCGAGCTTCACCAACACCGAGCTGCACCGCGCCATGAACCTGCACCTGGGCAACCTGCGCCTGCTGGGCGGCCCCCTGGAGCAGGTGCGGGCCGCGCTGCCCACCCCCACGCTCTCCGAAGGTGAGTCCTGCCCGGGGGGGCTGGAAGGGCTGTACCTGTACCCCTTGTGTGCCCCCCAGGGGCTGGGGGAGGAAGGGCTGTCCCCCGCCATGTCCCCCCGAGCGTCACCTGGCACTGGCGCGGTCTGCGTCAGCGCGGTGGGGGCTCGCCCGCGGGGAACGAGCGAAGCGGGCGCTGCCTGGGGACAAAGGGGACAGCGGCTGTCCCAGGCAAGGCCTGGCTCCGCAGATCCCAGCCCCTGAGCCCGCCCCACCCCCAGACGACAAACAGGTGCTGCAGAACCTGAAGCGGATCCTGGCCAAGGTGCAGGAGATGCGGGACCAGCGCGTGTCCCTGGAGCAGCAGCTGCGGGAGATGATCCAGAAGGATGACATCACCACCTCGCTGGTCACCGCTGACCGCTCCGAGATGAAGGTGGGCCTGGGGACACCCCTGCGTCCCCCTGGGGACCGCTCTGTCCCACAGCCCCCGGACCCTCCCGTGTCCCGGCAGAAGCTCTTCGAGGAGCAGCTGAAGAAGTACGACCAGCTCAAGGTGTACCTGGAGCAGAACCTGGCTGCCCAGGAGAACGTGCTCAAGGCCCTGACGGACGCCAACGTCAAATACGCGGCCGTGCGCAAGGCCCTGGCCGAGGTGGAGCACAAGTGAGTGAGGAGGGCAGCCCTGGGGGGGCTCAGAGCCCAGGAACAGCCCTCGCCCCCGGGACAGCTGTGGGGCCGCCACCGGCCTGCGTCCCGCCCCACTGCTGGGCTGTGGTGGCTTTGTCCTGTCCTTGTGCACATCCCAGCGGGAGGCAGAGGGTCCCACGGGTGCCTGGCGCTGGGTGCCCACCTTCACCCTGGCACTGCGTCCCGCTGAGCCCCTCCGTGCCCTGTCCCAGGTGGAACACGACCGTGCAGACCCTGGTGGCCTCCTACGAGGCCTATGAGGACCTGATGAAGAAGTCCCAGGAGGGGAAGGATTTCTACACGGACCTGGAGGGGAAGGCGGCCAAGCTGCTGGAGCGGGCCCGGGCCGCGTGCCAGGCCAGCGAGGCCCACCGGCAGCAGCTGCTGGAGAGGTGGGTGGGCACTGAGACCCCCGGGGCTGAGAAGGGCCTGGGGAGCTGTGGCTGGTGGTCTGGGGGCAGGGGGAGTCTCCTGGTGCCCGTGGGGCAGTGGGGAGCAGCACCCCGCCCCACACTGAGACCCCCGCTCTCCCCAGGGAGCTGAAGAAGCAGCCGCCCCCCCGGCCCACGGCCCCCAAGCCCCCCCTGCAGAAGAAGGCTCTGGACGAGGCCGGGGGCCCCGAGGCCGCCGAGCTGGGCTCCCTGGCGCTGTCGGAGCTGCCGGAGGAGCTGCGGAGCCTCCCCCCGGAGCTGCTGCCCGGGCCCCTGGGCCAGCTGCCGCCCCCAGCGCTGGCCGCCCTGGCCGGGGGGCTGCGGCCCGCCGAGCCCTACATGCTGCCGGGGGGGGTGGCCAGCGCCCCGCTGCCCCCCCTGGCCCCCGCGCCCCCCTTCCCGGGGCACTACCGCCTGCCCGGGCCCTTTCCTGCCCCCGGGGGGGTCCCGGGGCAGCTCCTGCAGCCCTCGGCCCCGGCCCCCGGCCCCGCCGCCCCCCAGCTCTTCCCGGCCGCGCCGCTGATCCGCGCCCCGGCGCAGCCGGCCTTCGGGGGGGGCCCCCACGTGCCGCCCAGGCCCCCCTGCCCTTCCAGCAGCCCCCCCGAGTCGCCCTGGCGCCCCCGGCCCAGTTCCCGCAGCAGCAGCAGCGCTTCGGCGCTCCGGGGGCGCAGCTGCCCCCGCCGGCCCCGGCGCAGGCCCCGCTGCCGCCCCAGCTCTACCAGCTCCCGGGGCAGGACCAGCTGCCCGCCACGGGCCTCGCCCCGCACCCGGGGGCCGTGCCCTTCCCCAGGACCCCCGCCCAGAGCGGCCCCCCGGCCCTGGGCGGGCTCCAGCCGGTGCCCCCCGCCCTGCCCTTCTGCCCCAGCCCGGCTCCCCCCGGCGCCCAGCTGCCCCCCGGGACCATGGCCCTGGGTCCCCCCGCGCCCGCCCCGCCCAGCCAGGCCCCTTCCCCCGGGCCGCTGCCGGGCGCCGTGGTGGTGCAGGGCCCGCTGGTCCCGTCCCCGGCGCCGTCCCCGTCCCCAGCGCTGCCCATGCAGCCCCCGGCGCCGCGGCCCCCGCCGGGCTCCGCGGAGGCGCCGTTCCCTCGGCAGAGCCCCTGCCCCGCCGACCTGCTGTCGTCCAGCCCCGAGAGCCAGCCCGGCGGCTCGGCCGCGCCCGGGGGGCTGCTGCAGCCCACCAAGGCCGGGGCACAGGAGGGGCAGCGGCCCCGGGCCGTGCAGCTCATTGAGGCCGACCCGTACGCGGAGCCCGAGCGCGTCCGGCGGCTGCTGGCGGAGCTGGAGCGCTTCCGCGGCCTGGCCGAGCGGCTGGAGCGGCCCGCGCCCGGCGGCGGCTCCGAGCTGGACGCGCTCTGGAAGGAGCTGCAGGAGGCCCAGGAGCGCGACGCCCGGCAGCGCTCCATCGCCATCGCCCGCTGCTACTCCATGAAGAACCGGCACCAGGACATCATGCCCTACGACCGCAACCGCGTCGTGCTGCGCTCGGGCAAGGACGACTACATCAACGCCAGCCGCGTGGAGGACCTGTCCCCGTACTGCCCCGCGCTCGTTGCCACCCAGGCCCCGCTGCTCGGCACCGCCGCCGACTTCTGGCTCATGATCTACGAGCAGAAGGTGTCCGTGGTCGTCATGCTGGTGTCCGAGCAGGAGCTGGACAAGGTGCGTCCCGTCCCGGGTGCGGGGCCGGCGTGGGCGGGTGCCACCGGGCCCTGCGGGGCCCGAGGGTCCCCGGGCTGTGCTGATGTCCCATCCCGCGGCAGAAGGTGCTCCGGTACTTCCCGTCGGAGCGGGGCCAGCCCGTGGCCCACGGGCCGCTGACCGTGGTGCTCACCAGCCTGCGTGTGACCCCCACGCACGTGGAGCGGATGCTGACGCTGCAGTACCGGGACCAGAGCCTCAAACGCACCGTGGCGCACCTCCAGTTCACCTCCTGGCCTGAGCTGTACGCGGGGGGACAAAGCGGGGGTCGGGGGGCCCTGATCCTTGGTGGGGGCAGTTCTGGGACCCGGGCTCCGGGGTTGGGGAGGGTTTGGGCAGCCCTGACCCATCGGGGGGCGGCCTGAGTGCTGAGCCCCCCCAGCGAGCGTGCGTTCCCCCCCAGGGGCCTGCCCGACAGCAAGGGGAGCCTCCTGCGCTTCATCCAGGAGGTGCACGGCCATTACCTGCACCAGCGGCCGCTGCACACCCCGGTCGTGGTGCACTGCAGGTGAGCCGGGCCGGGGGGCTCCCGGGGCGGGGCAGAGGGGCTCCCCCTCCTCTGCCCGCTCTGTCACGGCTCGGGGGTGTCTCCGCAGCTCCGGCGTGGGCCGCACCGGCGCCTTCTGCCTGCTGTACGCCGCCGTGCAGGAGGTGGAGGCCGGGAACGGCATCCCGGACCTGGCGCAGCTGGTGAGGCGGATGCGGCAGCAGCGCAAGCACATGCTGCAGGAGAAGGTACTGCGGGCGGGGGGCTGCAGCGGGGGGGGGGGCGTGGGGCTGCACTCCCCGGGCCTCACCGTGTCCCCTCCCCGCAGCTGCACCTCAAGTTCTGCTTCGAGGCCGTGCTGCTCCACGCCGAGCAGGTGCTGCTGCGCCACGGCGTGGGCGGCCCCAGCCTGGCCAAGCCCCCCAACAGCACCTCCCCCAAGGTGGGTGTAGGGGCGTGCCGGGGGTCTTCGGGGGGCTGTGCCACCGCCAGGGCTCACGGGGCCGCGCTCCCCCAGCTCTACTTCCAGCAGGACCCCCAGGACCTGGTGCTGGGGGGGGACGTGCCCATCAGCTCCATCCAGGCCACCATCGCCAAGCTCAGCATCAAAGCGGGGGGGCCCAGCGCCGAGCCCGGGGAGGGCTGGGGGGCGGACCCCGGCCCCGCTCCGGGCCCCGTGGAGCCCGAGGCGCCGCTGGCGATCCCTGACGGCGTCGTGGATGGTGTTGGTGTCCCCGACCCCGAGCCCCCCGCCCCGAGGCCGCCCCTCCCGGAGGCGCCGGGTGACACTGAGAGCAGCAACCACGTCGGGGGGGAGAGCCCCGAGGGGCCGGGGGGGCCGCCAGAGCCCCCCGCTGCCCCCCCGGCCTCCTCCTCCTCCTCCCTGGAGCTCTTGGCCTCGCTGACGCCCGAGGCCTTCAGCCTGGACGCGTCCCTCAAGGGCAAGCAGCGCATGAACAAGCAGAACTTCCTGCAGGCACAGCCGGGCGAGGGGCTGCGGGCGCCCCGGCCCAGCGACGACCCCCTCAGCATGCTCGACCCCCTCTGGACCCTCAACAAGGCGTGAGGGGGGCGGGGGCCCCCCGGCCCCCAGCCCCACTTTGTTTGACTCCGGGTAGAACTGACTTTTTCAGCTCTTTGCTACTAAAATAAAGCGAGTTTATCTGCAGGGCCGGGCCCTGGTGCTGCGGGAGCGGGGGGGGGGTCAGGGCTGAGCCGGGCTCGGGTTAGTTCCGTTTAATGGATGTTCTGCACACGTTATAAAACACGATCCGTACAAAAAGCGTCCCCTGTACAGCACAAAGGTACAGCTGGGCGAAGGCCACCCGCGGGGCTGGGCCGGGGTCCCGGGGGTCCCCCCTGCCCCAGGCCGGCGCCGCCTCTACAATCACCGGGGGTCGAGAACGGACGTCGTGGGCGCTCGGGGCACGGCGGGACGGGCCGGGAGCCCGGCCCGGGGGAGCCCCGGCTGCTGCCCCGGCCCTGGCTGTGCCCCGCCCGGGTCCCAGCGCCTGCAGGAGGGGGGCGAGAGCTCCGCTCCCAACCTGAGAAAAGCCTCCTCTGGCCCCGCAGCGGGAGGAGGAGGAGGAAGAGGAGGAGGAGGAGGAGGAGGAAGGTGCTATTGCTGCAGACGGGGCGCAGGAGGGAGCCGGGCAGGGCGGCTGTGCCAGGGCACGGCAAGGGCAGCGCTGCCGGGGCCGGGCCCCCGCGCCCCCTGCCCCAATAAATAACTATTTACAGCGTATAAATAAATAGAGTGGGGGCAGCTGCGGCCCCGGGCGGGCTCGGGCCGGGCCCTGCCGCGCCCTAAGGCACGTGGGGGCCGAGCCGCGCCCAGGAGGGGCCGGTCCCGGTCCCGGTCCCGGTCCCGGTCCTCTCCCGGCTGTCCCGAGGGCTGTCCGGTGTGCTGGGGCGGTGCTGGCCCGGGACAGCCGCTGCTGGGTGTCCGGCCTGGGAGCCACCACGCTGTCCCCGCTCTGCCCTGTCCCGCCCCGTGTCCCTGTGCGCCATGGCGCTGCCGGGGCTCCCCGAGTCCGCCTGGAAGGTGCCGGACCGGGGAGAGCAGAGGAGGGCCGGGGTCGCTCCGGTGGCACGGATGGAGCACGCAGCAGGGGCCCTGTCCCCTCTCCGGCACAGCCCCGAGCCCCGCCGGCCCCTCCTCCCGCTCAGTCCAACTTCTCCAGCACCGAGGGCACGTAGACCAGGCTGAGCTCGCTGCCGAAGTTGCAGACGATGGCGGCGTTCTCCAGCACCAGGATCTGCCGCGCCGGCTGCGACTCGTTGCTCTTGCCCAGGTAGACGGTCTGCAGCAGGTCCCCGTAGCCGATGTCCCAGAAGGACACGCAGCCCTGGCCCCCCGTCACCAGCAGGTTGTCGGAGATGACGCCCAGGCTGGCGCCGCAGCCCAGCTCCTGCGGGAGGAGGGAGGAGAGCTGAGCTCCGAGGGCCGCGGGGGCAGAGCCCGGTGCCTGACCGGGGCCTTTGCGTGTCACGGGGAGGCTGAGATGGAACAGAGGTGTCTGCAGGGTCTGGAAAACCCAGGAGGACCCCTGAAGGTGTGAGGTGGAGCTGGGGAGTCTCAGCCTGGAGAAAAGGAGGCTCAGGGGGGACCTTGTGGCTCTGCACAGCTCCTGCCAGGAGGGGACAGCCGGGGGGTCGGGCTGTGCTCCAGGGAACAGGGACAGGAGGAGAGGGAACGGCCTCAGGCTGGGCCAGGGCAGCTCAGCGTGGACACCAGAAGGAATTTCTCCATGGAAGGGGTGAATAGACTGCGGAAGGGGCTGCCCAGGGTAGCACAGCAGTCCCCTTCCCTGGAAGCATTTAGAAGCCCTGTGGATGTGGCACCCGGGGACACAATCAGTGGTGGCCTTGGAAGTCCTTGGTTGGACTCCGTGGACTCCGAGGGTTTTCCAACCCAAGCAATTAATTCCCGGTTTCCTGGTTAGCCCCCCCAGCTGCCCCCAGGTCCCACCTGCTGGATGGAGTAGAGCTTGATGCCCGAGCTGCGGTCCCAGATGCTGATGACGTCATCCAGGCCGCTGCTGATGACGCAGGAGGCGGTGCAGGTCAGGGAGGTGACGTCCCCGCGGTGGGCGAACATGTGGCTGACGCGGCTGCCCGTCAGCACGTCCCACAGGCAGATGGCCCCGTCCTGGCCACCGCTGGCCAGCACCATGGTCTGCAGGGCGCGGGGGCCACGTCAGCGCCGGGGTGCAGCACGCTCCCGGCTGCAGGAGGTGGGCTGCACCCCCGGACTGCCAGCCCGGGGCTTCCCTGCCCGTTCCTGAGCTTGAGCAGCCTGGGGAGCAGAGCCCAGGGCCCCCAGGAGCCCCAGTGCAGAGGCACACGAGGTCACAGGGTGGTCACCGAGGTCACAGGGTGGGAGAGCAGCTGGGGGCACACGCTGCTGTAGGGAGCACACTGGGGACTGCCACTCCTCCCAGGGACGGGGGGCAGAGCCCCCCTGGGGGCTCAGGCCTTGTTTCAGGCCTGCTCAGCCCCAGCTGGCAGTGCAGGAACAGGGATTCCCTGCTCCAGGACAGAGAAGCAAGAGATCTCCAGGGAAAGATTGCTGAGCTCACAGTGAACTGGGGGAAAACTCTGGCTCGGCCAGAGAGAGATGGAGGGAGCCAGGTGAGTGCCTCCAGCTGAGCCACTGGCTCAGGGATGGGACCAGGGATGAGCCAGGGATGGGCTGAGGTGTGATCTCAAGGATGGGCTCAGGCAGCAGCTCAGGTGTGAAGGCAGCAGGGGCTCAGGCCCAGCCGCTCCCCGTACCTGGTCGATGTACACGGCAGTGATGGCTCCCGAGTGGCCCTGCAGGGTGAACAGGCAGCACGAGTCCTCCAGCCGGAACACCTGGGGCAGGACAGGCCCGAGTGAGGCTCTGGGGACAGCTGGGCTCGGGGTGGGGCCACCTGAGCTCCCCACGGCACAACAGGTCACCCTGGTCCCACAGCCAGAGCCTGCCCGTGGTGCCAGGGGCCACGGGGTGCTGCAGGGCAGGGGCAGGTCACGGCTGGTGGGCAGTGCCAGGGTGCTCACAGGGCAGACACTGCACAGCTGAAGGGGAAGGGGAGAAGGGACACCCCAGAACCTGGGTCTGCCACTCAGGCAATGTCACAGCAGCCTCATGGAATGCTCCAGTCTGGGGGTGCAGGGGCTGGAAAGACCCTGGGGTGCTGGTGGACGTGACCAGCTGTGCCCAGGTGGGCAAGAGGCCAATGGCTCCTGGATTGTGTCAAAACCAGTGTGGACACAGCCCAGGGCAGGGACTGTTCCCCTGTGCTGGCCCTGCTGAGGAACCTCACATCCTGGAGGCTGCTTTGGGTCCCCCCCCCCGACAAGAAGACCTGAAGGGGCTGGAGCTTGTCCAGGGAATGGAGCTGGAGCCCCAGGAGGGGCTGAGGGAGCTGGGAAGGGGCTCAGCCTGGAGAAAGGGGGGATCAGGGGGGACCCTGTGGCTCTGCACAGCTCCTGACAGGAGGGGACAGTGGGGGGGTCGGGCTGTGCTCCAGGGAACAGGGACTGGAGGAGAGGGAAGTTTAGGTTGGATATTGGGAAAACCCCTTCATGGAAAGGGTGGTCAGGCATGGGAAGGGGCTGCCAGGGCAGTGGTGGAGTGAATGGATTTAAAGGCCACATGGATGTGGCACTTGGGGACATGGGTTAGTGGTGGCCTTGCCGTGCTGGGGACTGGTTGGACTTGGCAGTCTTGAGGAGCTGTCCCCAGCTCAGTGATTCCACAATTCTTTGACGTCACCCATTCCCGAGGGTCGCACGCTCAGCTCAGGGTGACACTCTGGGCTCTGTCCTTTGACTCCTGGCTGAGCAGACCCCAGGGCCCCCCGAGCCCCCCGTGGTGTCCCCGCTCACCGCAGGGTGTGGTCCTGGCTGAGCAGACCCCCGAGCCCCCCGAGCCCCCCGCTCACCCGCAGGGTGTGGTCCTGGCTGCCGGTGACGAGGCGGCCGGCGGCGGCCCTGAGCGCGGTGATGGGTTTGTGGTGCGCGCAGGCCACGCTGTGCGTCACCCGGCAGCGCAGCGCGGCCCCGCGGCACAGCTCCGGCGACGGCGGCACGCTGCTCCTGCCCGGGCCACCTGCGGGCAACGCGGGCCTCAGCTGGGCACGGCCACCTCGGGGCTCTGGGGAATTGGGGCACGGTACCGCAGCTAAGGACAGCTCAGTGAGGGCCTCCGGGGACGGAGAATTCCCGACTGGTTTGGGATGGAAGAGCCCTTAAAGCCCATCCAGATCCACACCCTGCCTGCCAGGGGCAGGGACACCTTCCACCATCCCAGGGCAGGGACACCTTCCACCATCCCAGGGCAGGGACACCTTCCACCATCCCAGGGCAGGGACACCTTCCACCATCTCAGGACACTTTCCACCATCCCAGGGCAGGGCCACCTTCCACCATCCCAGGGCCGGGACACCATCCACCATCCCAGGGCAGGGACCCTTTCCACCATCCCGGGTCAGGACACTTTCCACCATCCCAGGGCCGGGACACCATCCACCATCCCAGGGCAGGGACCCTTTCCACCATCCCGGGTCAGGACACTTTCCACCATCCCAGGGCCGGGACACCATCCACCATCCCAGGGCAGGGACCCTTTCCACCATCCCGGGTCAGGACACTTTCCACCATCCCAGGGCAGGGACACCTTCCACCATCCCAGGTTGCTGCTGGGACAGCCCCATCCAGCCTGACCTTGGACGCTGCCTCCAGGGATGGGGCAGCCGCAGCTTCTCCAGGAAATTAATTCCAGTCCTTCACCACTCTCCAGGGAAGAATGTCTCCCCAGTATCCCATCTGAATCATCCCCTCTGTCCTCTCCAGGAGCAAAGGAACCCCCTGCTCTAAGCAGTCACCCCATGGGCCCCTCTGGGCTGGGCTGTGCTTGTGCCAAGGGCTCAGGCTGTTCCCAGGATGGGAACAGTGGAACAGAGAGAAAGGAGAGCAGAGGCAGGAGCAAAGGGCAGCATGGGGATGGTGTCCCAGCACAGGGAGCTCCCTCAGCTCGGCACAGCTCCGGGTGCTTCTGGAGCAGTTACCACCAAAGCTGAAGGGGGCGTGAGGAAGACTCAGCTGTGAGGAAGAAGAGGGAGGAGGGGAAGGCAGGAGCTCAGGGCAGCGCACTGACATTCCAACACCGCTCACCTCGGA